TTCCTGTAACAAATAAAAGAATTATGAAAAATACAAAACAAAAAAGTAATCATAAAGGATTGTAACTGTTTAAACTTAAATAACTATGAGAATACATTAAACACTAAAAGCATTATACTGATATTACTAAAATATATATAACATATAAATAACATATATATAACCTATAAAATATATATAACAGGGAGAAGTAAATATTAACTGACAACATAGAACCTAATTTAAATGTTACAAATCATCAAACCATGTGACATCCCATTACACGATCAAAGAACAAAGCAAGTCCTAATAAAATTCTATTGTAGGTCTTGAACTTGAAATAAATTTTAGTATTTTAGAGTCTAACACTCCAAGCCAGATGCTGGTAGCCCAGCCTATGCCTATAATCCTAGCTACTCAGGAGAACTGAGATCTCTGTATTGTAGTTCAAAGTCAGTGGAACAACAAAGTCTACGACATTCTTATCTCTTATCTTAACCACCAGAATACTGGAAAAAGAGATATTAGCCTTAAACAAAAAAGCTCAGAGAAACACCCAGACCCTGAGTTCAAGTCCTACAACCAAAATTAAGAAAAGAAAGAAGAGAAGAGAAAAAGAAAGAGAGGGAGAGAAAGAAAGAAACAAAGAAAGAAAGAGAGAGAAAGAAAGAAAGAGAGAAGGAAAGAAAAAGAGAGGGAGGGAGGGAGAGAAGGAAGGAAAAGAAAAGAAGAAAAGAAAAGGAGGAAGAATCTAACTCTTCAGTATTTCCAGTATTGGGAACTCACTATCTCCCCCTCCTCTTCCACTCACCTGTAAGTGCTCTCACTCACCTGTAAGTGCTCTATCACTTTAGCCACACCACCAGAGATTTTTTTAATAAATTCAATTAATGGTGTCACCTTCATTCTATTTATTCATTCCATTGGGGAAAAAAAACAACTATTTTGTATTCAGTATTACTGAAATAATTTCTTCTTCATGAAAATGGCTTTTTATAATCTAATCTGGCTGTCAAGATCATGAAAAATGTCAAAGTAATAAAACTGATTTCCAGTCCAACATTAAAATCCTTCATTTTGTTCCTGGCATTTCCATTTCAACTCATACCCTTCCATATGACACAGAAAACTCACTCAAGTTCCCTATCCACTTCCAACAAAATTTACCCTAATTTTCCCAAATGCAATTTTTGTTAATGGATAAGCAGACATGTAAAAATACATATTAATAATCTGCTATATTGGAAAAGCAAGCTAGTTTTCAAAGGATGCTTTATTTTAGCTAATGCAGTAATTCTTAAATATGTCAAAGGTACATAAGATTTTGGTTAGTTAGTAACTATTGTTGGACTTAGAGATACAGCCCAGAGAGAACGTGCTTGCTGAATATGCAGGCATAGACGAGGTTCTAGTTCTCATCCCCAAAATCATAAAAAGACCACCACCACCAAATCAGCAACAGGAACACCAGACCACCAAATCACACACTCACATACCACCCACACACACCCACACCCCCCCCCCACACACACCCACACACCCACACAGCGCCAAGCGCTGGTGGCTCATGCCTGTAATCCTTGCTGCTCAGGAGATCTGAGGATAGCTGTTCAAAGCCAGACTGCAGCAAAATCCATGAGACTCTTAGTTCAACTAACAAGCAGAAAATCTGAAGTAGGCTGTGGCTTAAAGTGGTAGATTGCTAGCTTTGAGCAAAGGGAGTAAGGGACAGCACAGCATGTAGGCCAAGAGATCAAGCCCCAAAACTGACCAAACAAAACAAAGCCAAAAAAAAGAAAAAAACTGTGCATGGCTTCTGGTTTTATCTGTTTCCTTAAATAGCTAGATGCTACTTATTTTCTCATAACTGACACTTTCTAAACAATTCCAGGTATTGTCTTATCTGTTTTGAATGCTATTAACTCAGCAAAGCTCCCATGCTTTATGTCTATAATAATAGCTACTCAGGAGGCTGAGCTAGAAGAAAGGTGCTTTGAAGTCAGCCTGAGAAAGAAAGTCCATGAGCCTCTATATACAATTAACCTTCCAAAAGCGGGAAGTGAAGCTATGGCTCAAATGGTAGAGTGTTAGCCTTGAGTGAAAAAAGCTAGGCATACCTCAGGCCCTGATTCACAAGCCCCAGCATGGCAAAAATAAATACGTAAAAAAAACAATTAAAAAAAACAACAGTAAATTCAAAATGATAAAGTATAATTATTAATACTTTACTAGCAAGCAGTTACTAGCTCAGTAATGAAATATTTAAATTAACTGACATTGGAACTTTGCATTTCACAAAAAATTTGCCTATACTAACTCTTTTTGTCTCCAGCATGATAATTCTTTTTCTTGGCTGAAGATGATCAAGATTGCTTTCCTCCAGTTTTACTTACCGCAGCTTACAAATTCCTCTAATAAAAAGGCTTATAGCTGGGGATATTTCTGAGGTAGAATACTTTACTAACATATACAAAATACCCACCGCCACAAGCCCCTCCCAACAGTCTATACTCTTATGTTTTTGTTTGTCGCAACCTACCCAGTATCTTTCCATGTATTTAACCAAAACAACTAAACATATTTTAAGCAATGTACAGGTATCTCATGCCTGTAATTCTCAATACTCAGGAGGCTAAGATCTGAGAACTGTGGTTTGAACCCAGTCTAGGTAGGAGATTCTCATCTCCAATTAACCATCAAAAAAGTTTGAAGTGTAGCTGTGGGCTCAAGTAGTGTGCTAGACTTGAACAAAAAAAAAAAAAAAAGCTAAGAAGCAGCACCCAGAACAAAAAAAAAAAAAAAAAAAGCTAAGAAGCAGCACCCAGAACTCTCAAGCCCCAAGTACCAGAACAAAACAAAACAAAATTTCTAGTACAATGTTCTCTAAAAATAATTTTTTTTGCCCGGCGCTGGTGGCTCACGCCTGTAATCCTAGCTACTCAGGAGGCTGAGATCTGAGGATCATGGTTCAAAGTCAGCCCAGGCAGGAAAGTCCATGAGACTCTTATCTCCAATAAGCCACTAGAAAACTGGAAGTGGCGCTGTGGCTCAAGCGGTAGAGGGCTCGCCTTGAGCTGAAGCGTGCAGGGACTGTGCCCAGGCCCAGGATTCAAGCCCCACGACTGACCGAAAAAAAAAATTTTTTCTTGATATTGACACCTTTTAAAAACAACAACAAAGCCTAAACTGATCAGTGCTGTGTAATATTAAAACTTATTATAGCTGTATTCCCAGTACTCAGGAACCTGAAACAGGAGGATCCTGGATTTGAGATCAGCCAGGACTGCCTACCTAGACTTTATCTGGGAAAAAAAAGTAAATAATTAATGTACTTCAACAAAAATATAACTTAAAAAATTAGTCAATATTCACTGCAATGCTACTATTCCCATTCATATTACTTTACATTTTTAGAAAGAAAAATCTATGTTTCTATCTAATTTAATTTATAATTTTTCCCTTTGTACATTTATTAAACTAGATTTGCTGCTGGTATTGTTTGACTTTAGCTGCTTGTCAGTTCTCTTCTCACTCAAACTTAGAGTAAGCTACTATAATTTTGATGTTTCTCCAACTTTTCTTATTTGCACTGTTCAAAGTATTATCCTCTTAAATTATACTAAACTCTGGCTTCTCTGAACAAATTAAAATTGGAAAACATTTACTATATTTAACTTTTAATAGAGCAAAAGATTAAATGTTTCCTAAATTAAAACTACATATAATTTTGCAAAAATACTTTCATACAAAATCCTTTCCAAAATAAATGTGAATGGGAGGGTAAAAACTAGGAGAAGTGAAGAGAGGGGTGAGATTGTCCCAAAAGAAATGTACTCATTACCTGACCTATGAAAATGTAACCCCTCTGTATATCATCTTTATAATAACAATTTCAAAAAACGTAAAAAAAAATGTAGTGACATCTAACTTTCAAATTTTGCTTTAGCTTCTGCAAATAAAGTGCAAAATCAACAATAGTATTACTTACTGTTTTTTTTTATAACAATAGAGACCATACCATATAATGGTTTGGATAAAATGTAAGCAAACTAAATAATTAAATTTGATAATAATTTCTTGAACAAATAAAAATTATCTTAACAAGGATGCTCTTTGTTGTATGCTTTTTGTGGCAACAGAAAACTTAGATTAGCTTTATATTAAATTATAAAATTTGTTTTATATAATTATATAAAATTTAACAAAGACCTTCAACTGACTACGTAATCCTGCAAAAATAATTCTAAACTATTCTAAATTCAGCTATATTGGTCTTAGGTTATACAAAACAAATATACATAAAAAGCAAAGAATTCTTACTATATTTTATACTTTGAAACTATGTTAAACAAGCAAATGAAAACACATAGGATTGGACTGGTGGTGTGGCTCAGGTAGGGAATTTGCCTAGCATTCACAAGGCTTCGCATTTGATCCTTGAAAAACAAAAACAAACAAACAAATAAAAAGCAAAATGAATGTGTTCGCATGGAACAAATCCTTGACCTTGTAATTCTCTTGGAGCATTAATCCTTACCTGGCCTCTTTATTACATAAAGGAAATTAGAGATTGTAGGGTAGTAAATAGGTAAATGCCAAGAGCTACTTAGTCTTATTGTTGAACTATTCAATAATTGTTGATTTGCTGGTTTTAGAAAATACTGTATTTTATGTTCCGAAACAATTAGATGCTCTGGTAGGTACAATATGACTAAAAAGTTAAGAAATGTTATAAAGAATTTCAATGTATGTCTTATAAAGAAAGTAAATTTGGAACTGGTGTAACATTTTTTTTGTTTTACTTTTTCTGCTTTGTATTCTTTTTTAATACTAAAGTCCTAAACTATGAATTCACAGAATAGTAAAATTTAGGAAATTTTGGAAAAGAAAATAAGCTATACATGGTAATCTAGCTATGTAAAACTCTAATGTTGAAGAAAATATTACACTGAAATCATAAGTAGGTTATACAAGTTGCACTTAAAAATTAATAGAAAATTTAAATTTAATAAACAACTTACCCAATTTTTGTCTTCTCTTTTAACTTAGAACAAGTTTTTGTTTTTCTGCTGTCTTTGTCCTTTGGTTTAGATTTCATCCTTCTACCTTTCTTTTCCTCTTTTCCTTCAACTGAAGCACTAGGAAAGTTTTCAGGACTCATTACTCGTGGAATATTGCGCTCCCCACGTTCCTTTGCTCTTGCTATGGCCTCTGATATAATACGATTAGCCTTTTCTTGCTTGCTTTCTGATTCCACTTTTTTTCTCTGCTTCTTCTCAGACATGACCCTCACCTGGGTATTCTGCAACTTAGTATATGTCCCAGAACCATCACTCTTCTTGGAAGATGGAGGCTAGGAAAATCAAAATATTTTTTTATAGAATCCACAAAAGTACATTGAAAAAAACCTGAAATAAATATCTACAAATTTAAAATTCAGCCTCAAGAAGTAAAATTGCATGTGTAAATATGTGAGTACTACAAATACATTTAAAGACATTTTAGGCTTATGTAGAAAGTAGTATTAAATATAAACATCTCAACTGCCATGTTGAAAATGAAGAAAGATATAGATTCAATGCTAATTTTCATAACATTTTTGGTTAGTTGATTCAGACTGTGTCTTGAAAATACAGTTGTTTTAAATTTTATTATATAGATATTTTGGAATAAGTATTTTGTTTCCTCTTCACTCCAAAACTCTAAAAACCATTAGTAAATTTGAAATAGCAACTTTAGCTTGGAATCACTATTCCTAACAGTTATTATGGATTTTAGGAAAATAAAGCTTCTACTCGAAGACAAGGAAGGGAATTTAAATCATTTTAATGCACCAACGTAGTTAGTAAACAGACACTCTCATACTTAAAATTAGACAAAGTTTTAGTTTCCCCATGAAAGAGTTAAATGTGAATTTTTTTGTTTTCTATATCACAATTATTTTGTACAAGCAATTTGGAAAAGAAATACTCTTTTTGTTTCATATTATTACAATTATTAATACTTTAGCATATCACAGGAAGCAGATCAAGACCATTTAAAAAAGAATTTCCTCTTCAAACACACATTCATCCACATATACTTAGATCACAGTTTTGTTATGTTCTTACCCGTAAACATGCCTCTGACTATAGCAAAGAAAAAAAACATCAGGAATTTCCAAACACATTTTCATGCTGATTCCAGTGTGCTTTACTGGATACCTTTTCTATACCTGCTTCATTAAAGGTTTCATAGCAGTGCTGCAGCACTGGGAAAGGACGGAGGGCTTAGAATCGCTCGCTAAAATGCCACCTCAAGGCCTATAGGCTATAACAAATAACCAAGACTCGAGAAAACAGCAACAAGCTCAAGATGGCGATGCAGTACGACTCCCGCAGCAGCAGCCAGTAATAAGGAAGGTTATTCAATCCCATTAGCCTTTTAGCCCAAAGAACCCCTCCTCCTCCCACTCATTCAGGCTTTCACTTACCCTTCCTCTTGGCCTCTTCACTGAAGACATTTTTGGCGTCAGACAAAGGCTTGCCCTCTGCTTTTTCACCACCCCAGGCAGTGCTCAAGAAAAAAGCATTGAAAGAAGATTCCTAAATGGCCTATTTTGCAAGCTGCAACCAAGAGATGCACAACCCTCCACAAATACACATTTTGATTTATCAACACATTCCTGGCTTGGCAAGTTTATATCTACTGTTCATCCTGTTTAGGTATGATAAAGGCTGTAAACGCTCCTAAAAAGCCGAGTTTCCTCAATAGCTGTAAGCAGATAGCCAGATTCCAACAAAGCACAGAAAGAAATGAATGCACAAAGCATCAAAATGCATCAGCATGAATATTAGAGATGTCGTTAAAAATACTGACTCCTTCTGCGGAAGTAGGCCAGCAGATGGTGCTACCAGTTATTATTCCATTAGACTCTGCAATTTAACCCCCAATGGACTGTTCTTCCCTTCATCTAACACATTAACTCTCACTTTGCCATTTTCTGTATAAAGTTTTTGAAAAATATGCATAAAAATCTAATTTTAGAAAATCTGGAAACTGAAAAAGTGATTAAATGACTTCAATGTGGCTATCACTACTATAAGATAAATCTGATGCAATAATTACTTAAGAAAAATGCTTCTCCACCAAATTGTACATAAAAATATTTAAAATGCTGAATTAGCTGATAAACAGAACTTCAAATTAAAAATTAAAAAGTGTGCTTCTAAGAAACTGGATGAAGTCTTATGATTTTCATAACAAAAAGCTGTTATTTCAAAAATAGAAAAACGAGAAAAAAAACAGAAATGAAACTTCCTTGTGTGTATTTATATGAAAACATTTATTTTCATAATATAAAAAACTCAAAAAATCTTTCTCACTTTTACACTTTGTATTATTTTAATTGCTAAGCTTTTCAGATAAAATTTTAGGGTTTTTTTTTTTTACTAGAAACAAATGGCTATCCAGCCAATTTGACTACTGCTACAACTTTTTTTCCTATAAAAAAAAGAAATCATTTTAATGAGCAATGCCTTTAGTTAACTGAAACAAAATTTAACTGCATCAAAAATCATGTTTGTCTTTTTCATTAATGCCATTTTTTCCAAGTGTCCCTAGCTACTTCTCTGATAGTAGCATCAAAGCTCACTGTTTTTTTGCTTTTGTTTTTCTTTTGGGCATAAAAGGTCACAAGATAGAAAAACAATATGTGAACAGTATTCTAGAAAAATCAGTTTGAGATATTAAATGCAAAGGGCCACTAAGGACAAGAAACAGATGGTACTGATAAAAAATAAATAAATAGTAGCCAGGCGCCGGAGCCTCCTGCCTGTAATCCTAGCAACTCAGGAGGTTGAGATCTGAGGATCGAGATTCAAAGCTAGCCCAGGCAGGAAAGTCCATGAAACTCTTATCTCCAATAAACCACCAGAAAACCAGAAGTGGAGCTGTAGCTCAAGTGGTAGAGCGATAGCCTTGAGCTGAAATGCTGAGGAGCAGTGCTCAGGCAGGCCCAGAGTTCAAGTCTCACGATCGACAAAATAAATAAATAAATAAATAATCACTAGTGGAAAATTGTACCATTAATAAAAGATAACATATAATTAGTACTTCCTAGGTGTCAGACATTATTCTAAGTATTTAAAATGTACTAACTAATTTAATCTTGAATAATAATGATAATAGCCAAGCAAGGTGCTCACCTCTGTAATCCTAGCTATTTTAGGAGGCTGAGATCTGAGGATCTCTGTTTAAAGCCAAGCTGGGCAGGAAAGTCTATGAGACTCATATGTAACTATTCAAAAATAAAAGGAAATCAGAATGTATCACATGTGATATCGGAGAGTAACTATGAGAAATATATGAAGATCTTTACATACTATATTTCAGTATTGGGCAAACTTAAGAATTTATACTATTAATGAATTCTCTAATCAAAGGTCATATTCTAATAGCAAGCTGTGATGTTACTGGGTCCAGACTAGCAACTAAAAAGTGAATTAAAACAAATTGGAAAAAGATATGGTATATAACCTTATGAATGCACTTCACACATTTTAAGGAATTAGAAAGTTTTAATACCATCACTCCCATTTTCCTTAATGAGGCAAACAGGAAAGAGATCTGGGCTAAAAATAAGATGCTTTAAAACAGAAATGGGGAGTCAGTTTTTTCTCTAGGTGAAATAAATTTTCCAATTATTCATTCAACCACATTGGGGAATTTATTTCAAAACGTTAACTGCACATAAGCATATTTATTGTATTACTAGTTTGTGGACATGAGTAGAAATGATCATTTCCAAAATAGGAGGAGAGAAGGATAACCTGGCTACTACACATCTCTTAGATAGTAAAGAGTAGAGTTTTTCTACCGAGAGTAATGTTTTAAAAATAGTATAAAGGGATAAAAAATGTCTCATACTAAACAGATGTAATTCCTAAAAAGCAAAACATGGAACAATTTTCAAAAACATACATATAATGGCATTGTGGCTAAATGATCTCCAAATTTTTTGAGGAGACTCTCAGGTTTCAAGCACAAGAGACCCTGTGAACAGAAGTTCCAAAGAAAGAGAATATAAAATAGAAGACATAAGCAAGCTTGAGGGCTGAGAATATAACTCAGTGGTAGGGCTCCTGCCTATGCAAGGCTCTGAGTTTAGGTTTAATCCCCACGTCTATGGGAAAAGATGGGGAAGGGAAGGGTGAGGAGGGGAGGGGAGGGAAGGAAATACTGTACAGTTTGGCTGAGAATGTAGCTCACTGGTACAGTTTATGAGTAAAAAGCCTGACATCCTGGGTTCCAACACTAATAACACAAAAATAAAATGTATTTCAATGTAAAAAAAAGCCTATATAGATAAAAGGAAAATAAATACATAGTTGTTTCATAATAATTTGTTTCTGCTGAGTAGAGGCATGGTTCAAGTAGTACAGCCTTAAGTGAAAAAGCCAACAATGCAAAGTCCTGGGTTCAAGCTGCAGTATGGCAGGCATGTAGGCATGTGTACACACATGTGCACGCACGCACACACATACACACACACACACACACACAGAAATAATTCCACAAAAGATAATTCACTATACATTTCAGTTCTCCTAAACTTTCGTCTTTTTTTTTTCTTTTCTTTTCCAGGGCTGAGGACCGAACCCAGGGCCTTGTGCGCGCTGGGCGGGCACCCTTCCGCTGGGCTAAACCTCTAGCCCCTCTCCTAAACTTTCTTTTTAAACAATGTTTTTGTTTTTTGGTTATTTTTTGGGGGGCGGGGGTCCGGTCATGGGGCCTGAACTCTGGGCCTGGGCGCTGTCCCTCAGCTCTTCAGCTCCAGGCTAACGCTCTACCACTTGAGCCACAGCGCCATTTCCAGCTTTTTTTTGCTTATGTGCTGAGGACTTGAACCCAGGGCCTCAGGCATGCAAGGCAAGTGCTCTACTACTGAGCCACCTTCCCAGCCCCTCTCCTAAACTTTCTAATAAACATGTATGCTACTTTTAAATTTCCATGTTTGAAAAACAGAAACAAACTAGCTGTATAATTTTGTAATATGTGTAAAACATTAGTGATTTCTTTTTATTTTTGGTTAATAAATACATTTTTTTTCTCCAACTGATATTGCTTTTAGCCGGGTGCCAGTGGTTCATAATCCTAAGTACTCAGGAGGCTGAGATCTGAGGATCAAGGTTCAATGCCAGCCCTAGCAGGAAAGTCCATGCAACTCTTTTTTTTTTGGGGGGGGGGATGGTCCACTCGTGGGGCCTAAACTCTGGGCCTGGGCACTGTCCCTCAGCTCTTCAGCTCAAGGTTAGCGCTCTACCACTCGAGCCACAGCGCCACTTCTGGCTTTTTTCTTTTTGCTTATGTGGT